GGGTGGACGAATAAAAACCGACAGGCAAAAAGTCTGGGAAATCGGACACAGGAAGTAACAAATTATCAAAACCCCTTGCCTCGCTCCTATGGCTCCTATGGCTGCACACAAAAAAGGCAAACACGAAAACAAAATGCGAGGTAGCGTGGTGGAATCAGGCTCTCGTCAATTGTTGGACATATTGAGTCATTGGTATCATCTTAAAGCTTGTTCATTTGTCTTGTTTTCAATGAAAAAATTACCCATCCATCTTCAATAGAAGTGGAGATATTTTGGATTGAAAGAGGAGGGGGTCACCTGGTTTACGAGGCAGGATTAGCGAGAAAATGGCCGCCAAATCTTGGTAAATTCCAAAGCTGGAGAGTCCATGGAAACTGTAAAATTATATTTTTGTGCCTATAATACACGTTTTCTGTGAAATCCTCAAAGGAATTTGTTTGTAAATGCACATAAAAGGTGTGGAGCCAAAAAACAAAAAATTAATAAAAATTGCTAAGCAGGGAGAAAACTGCTGTTTTATTCGATTTCATTATTTTGACGAGAGCCTGATTCCACCACGCTGCCTCACATATATATCATTGTTCAACGTTTACAGACAGAGCGACATAAATCATAAATATGTGTCTGCTTCATCCTTTGTCGGAGAGACAGCATTCTAATGTTACCCTGTGCAGTGGACGGGGGGCAAAAAATACATTAAAATACAATTAAAATGAAATAGAATACAAATGTAATGCGATTTTTAGTTTTTAGAGACAAGAGGTGAACTGTTATTGGCAGGCCGATCTCCATAATTTTTTATAGCTAGAGTCTATATGTATTATAATGCATTACATTTTTAGCTTAAATAGCTATTATTTTTTGTAAGTATTTTAAGGCGCTGGCAACTACATACCGCATGATACGGTCATATGAGCTCTGGACACATTAAAACATTGTCAGATAGGTAGGATTTAATTTTTATTTGTTTTTCCATGGGAGCCTTTTCCATGATGGCCGTGGAACACACTGTTATTATCAATCTTTGGACCACCAAGGGATATTTAACGTGCGCAACTTGCACACGAGACCGTAGAGATTTTTCACCCTTATCCGAGGAGGCTAGGTGTTAGATCTTACCTACCGTAAGATAAGGGGTGTGGTTGAAATACTACGGTAAGAAGGAGCCAAGGAGTAGCTGCAGTAGAAAGGCCGCAGAAAGAGTCAGGAGCCCAGAGGGGG